TTCTCAATGGATTGAGAACATCCATTGCCATCTGATCACCGCAACCGCCTTTTGAAAGACCTGCCTTGCTTGTACAAAAATAACGGTTTCTTATCGTCCTTTGTTCTGGACCTGTGACATTCCGGACTAGTTCTGTTCTCAGTTGTGGCTGAATGTAACGTGTACAATAAATGACCTCTTATGCTGTCTTAGCTGAAGAGAAAAAAAAAATTTCCCCTCTTTCATCCCTGATTTTGTTTATTTGTGTCATTTTTCTTTTTTCTTGAGTAAGTCTAACCAGGGATTTGTCAATTTTATTAACCTTCTCAAAGAACCATCTCTTTGTTGCATTTATTTATTGTATTTTTTTTTGTTTTTGTTGTTGTTGTTGTTGTTGTTTGTTTTCAAATTTCATTTATTTCTTCTCTAATTTTGATAATTTCTTTCCTTCCGCTGATTTAGGCTTCATTTGTTCTTCCTTTTCTACTCCCTGCTCTTTTTCCTCCCCTTCGAGAATTCCCATTATTCTTTTTCCTCTTCTGATGGTATCAGCTAGTTCTTGTATTTCTCTTTCATTATTTTTTATTCTTCGGTTTCTCTCTTCCTCCTTTTGATTTATTTCTAGATTTCTGCTTTCAATGTCACTGATCCTTTCCTCCATTTGGTCGACTCTATTTCCCAAGCTTGTTATTTCATTTTTCAGCTCTTGCAGCGTGTTATCTCCAGAAGGTCTATTCAGTTCTTTTTGAGGGTTTCAGTTTCCCTGCTAAAGAACTCATTCTGCTCATCTAGTTGTTTTTTCAGTTCCTGAAATTGTTGATATGATTCATCTTGCATCTCATTGAGTTTCTTCAGAAGTACCATCCTGAATTCTCTGTCATTTAAGTCGCATATTTCTATGTCTGTAAGCTTATTTTTTGCAGAGTTTTCTCTTTCTTCCTGAATGCTTTGTCACTTTGGGTGTTCATGGTGTTCAATGGACTATTTCTCCACCTGGGCATTAATGGAAGTGTATTCTGATTTTTTTTTCCCCAGAAAGATTTATTATATAATAGTCCCTAGCCTGTTGCAAAGAAGGTGTTTTTCTTTTGGTTTCTAGTAGGTGGCATCTAAGCTTTATATAAAGATCCTCTTGGATCTCTGCTTTAAATAAAGCCTTAATAATGTCGTATTTTTCCTTATGGATGTTTAATCACGCTCACTACTCTCAGTCTCAGTTCCTGTCAGTGTTAGTGACGGCTTCGTTCTTGGAGGACATGGGGGGAAAGGCTCTCTGGGTTGGGGAATAGGGGCTGCAGCTCAGCCTCAATTTTGCAACTGTTGCCGGTTAAAATCAACTGTTTTTTCTCTGCTGTCTTGTTTCTCTACCTTCTGCCTTGATGACTGGCCTTGCCTCCAGCCACATGGAGCTCACAGCACTCCCAGGCAGAGCTGTTCAGGGAACTCGCCTCACCTTCTCCCCGTCCCTTCCTCCTACAGTGAGCTCTGACGGCTGCAAATGGCAGCTTATTTATTTCTCCCAGTCTACCGTAGCTCTATGTGCCGATCCCATGCTCAGACGTGCTGGTGTGCAGTTTCAGTGTTTTTTGTTGAGTTTTAGATGTTCAGCTTATTGTTGTTTCAAAGGGAGACCCCCGGGGACGTCTCTCACTCCATCATGTTTCTGATGTCTCTCTGATGTGATTTTTTAAATTGAATTATAATATAAACCACAAAATTCACCTTTCTAAAGTGTCCAATTCAGTAGTTTTTGCTATATTCACGAAGTTGTGCAACTATCACCACTAATTCTAGAGCATTTTCCTAAGTCCTAAAAGAAACCCTGTACCATTGGCAGTCAATTCTCATTCCTCCCTCTCCTCTCAGGCCTTAGCAACCCCTAATCTGCTTTCGTTCTCCATGGACTTACCCATTCTGGACATTTTTATATATAGTAAATTAGATCACATAATATGCAAACAGCATATAGTATGTGGTTTGGCTTCTTTCAGTTAGTATGATGTTTTCAAGGCTCATCCATGTTATAGAATGTATCAGTGCTTCATTCCATTTTATGTCTGAATAATATTCCACTGTAGGTATACCACATTTTGTTTATGCATTCGTGAGGTGATGAACATTTGGATTATTCTACTTTTTTGGCTATTATGAATAACACTGTTATGAAAATTCATGAGCAAGTTTTTGTGTAGACACATGTTTCAATTTTCTTAGTTATATACTGAACAGTGGTATTTCTGGATCATATGATAACTCTTTTGAGGAGCAGTTTTCCAAAGTAGCGACATCATTTTATATTTCTCAGCAATGTATGAGTGGTTTTATTTTTACAGACACTAAAATATATCATGCTTCCTTAAAAAGACACTCAGAAGCCTCCAAAATGAGGCAAACACAGATTATTCAAGAGAACTTCCATGAGGAAAAACTGATTCCCTCTTCATGCATATCTGCCAGCTACAATTCACATAGTGGGAATAGTACAACTAAGAAAGGTTAAAAGTGGTCTCTGACCTACCAGAAGTCACATATTACCCCCACTTCTGTTCTGAAAGCCCAACAAACTAGTCTAAATTCATTGACAAGAGTTGTAACGGAAATCATAGCCTGTGATTTCTTCTTGGTCAACCAAGGGGAAATCTGGGCTATAGCAAATACTGCTTGCTGTACAAATGTAAATACTCCAGAGAAAATATAAAAAGCCATCTGACTCTCTAAAATAAGCCCAACTAAATTCTGGGACATGTTTCGATTGCCTGGATTTAATAATCTAGGTCTTTGGCTTCGAGCCCTATAAAAAGACTAGTAGTCATTCTGATTCTGGTAATCGCCTATATTACAATTGACCAATATAGCCTGTCCAGAATCTTAAGCACTAGTAGGGTACTACTAGTAGGGCAGCCATTGTTACATCAGATGGTCCAATAACTCGTCCTACAACAGAAGAAGAAAAGATTAATCCTGGTTCAATTATAGACTGTGTTCAATTATGGTAGTATATGCGCTTCATAGTCAGCAAAACCTTGGCAATGATGAAAATCTGGATATAATGAATGAATATCCTGAGACCTAACTAGGTCTGTACTTGACCAAAAACAAGAACAGAAAGAACAGCCCCCAGTCGTTGGAACTGATTTGTTGCTCACAGCTTGACCTCAATGTTATTACAAGCTCATCTGATGCTCATAGGGTACTTTGTTTTTCAGTTCTTATAGAACACCAATCTCACACAGGGTTATTCTGAGAACTTGACAAAATTAAACAAAATAAGGCCATGTTCATAGAGATAGAAGTAGAATGGCTGTGAGGATGGAGGAATAGGGAGTTATTGTTTGCTGGGTAGAGAGTTTCAGTGTTACAGGATGAAAAGACCTATGGGGGTGGATGCCCTGTAGTGATGACTGCACAACATGATGAATATATTTAATACCACCGAACTGTAAACTTAAAAATGGGTAAGATGGTAAATTTTATGTTATATGTATTTTGTGAAAATTAAAAAAAAAAAAAGAAAAAAACAAGGCCACTTCATAGTTTTGTCTAAGCACAGGTAAAAGCAAGGTTATAGAGCTACTCACCAAACACCCACTTATAGAATTGTCCCCATTTTGTGACAGCATCCAGAACAGTTCCTGGCTACATGGGTCCAGCCTCTATCCCTACTTGGCACCACTCTCTGCAATCCCAGATAGACAGGGCTTTCAACATTGAAGTCTGCTCATGGGCCCAACAATCAAAGGCTTTAGTCTCCACCTGTGACCATCTTTGGGTTCTAATATGGCTGCAGGGCCTGAGCCGGCCATGACTAGTGAGTAACAAACTACAACTTCTGAGCTGAGAACCTCTTTCCTCCCCCTACTCTGACCGGAGCCTACCCTGTGGGACCCAAGTGAGACTGCTTCTCTCCCTTCAACGTAAGCTGTCTCCAAGACCTCATAACCTTTCCCAATACTCACGCCCCCACTGACCCAGCCCCACCCTGGCTCTTGGCCTCACCCTCCCATATGTGTCTGCCTGGTAGAGCACTGATCACAATGAGTAGGATGATGCGTTTATGAGTCAGTTTCCCCCAAGCAACTTGAGTGACTCTTGAAGGCAGGGACCGTGTTTTATTCACTGTTATATCCCCAATGCCTGGTCCAGAGAATGCTGTTCATCAATCTGTGATCAGTTAGAGAGGGAGGAAGGCAGTGTCCCCAATCAGACTGTGAGCTGCCAGAGAGCAGTGGCTTCACCGCTTCACTGCCTCTTCCTCTTCCTCCTTCAACAGGAAAACTTGACACAAGATTAGGCTCAGGGTGGGGATGTAGATGAGTGATGGCGATTCCAAAATCTCCACCTATAGAACTTCTGGATAATATCTTTATTTAGCTCAGGAAGGTATTTCTTACACATTTCTGAATACATGGATATGAATTTTCTTTATTTCATTCAATAAATTGTTATTAAGCTCTTACATATAGAAAATGCAGATATGCAAGTAAAATGCAGGCTAAAATGAAAAGCTCCTTGCATACAAACATTTAAAAAAAAAAAAGACATGTTAATACAGGGCATAGAGAAAGGAAACCAGCAAGTGATTGAATTATCACTCTCTCACTCATGACTTGGTCACGGTGCCTAGATATGGATGGGTACTCCCTCTGCTCTCTCTGCTCCTCTAAGACACAAGTCCCTAGCTAGTCCTAGATAGGAAAAGAGGCCTCATAAGGCCAGGAGGTAGCCCTGTTCCTGCCTGCAGAGGGGAAGGCAATCCCTCCAGGCACAGTGTCACAGACCCATGTGGTCAGATAGCTCAGCTTTGTTTAAGCAGGGAGACCACTTCTGTGCCAGTATCCTGGACTGTCTCTTCCCTTCACTCTTGATGGCTCTCGATTGTCAAATAGATTGGATGAACCCGGGTGTAGTTTGTTCTAAATGTTTCTCAAGCCAATTAGCCTCAACAGAGCCAGCCAGCTCCTGGGCCCAGGTGCTTCCAGAGAGCTCCTCAGAGGTTTCCAGAGGCCTAAGAGCCTCTGGAATACCTACAATATCACCTAGCTCAAGCATTAGTTGGGAAGGCTGTATCAGCTCCTTTGTGGCCCCTGCAATATCCACTGTCTGCATTCAATATGCAGAAGGAAATGTCCAGGGTTGGGGGCAGGCATGATCCCTCAGGTTTGCCTGCAGCAAGATAGCAAAAAATCAGTCAAATCAACATCTGTGAATTTCAGGCCAAAGCTTAGATTCCCTGGGCCAGACCTCTGGCCTGTCTGGGCAACCAGGCCAGGAAGACAGAGTCTAGGCTGCAGGACTCTCAGCCCCCAAAGAGCGCATCTGCACCTGAAAGTGCTCGCAGCGGGCGTACTTCATGCTCAGTCCGTAGATGGGGGTCATGTCTACCTTCACACCCGGCAGTATGCTGAATTCTAACTGCTGCAGCAGGATGGCCAGGAAGAGAAAGACCTCGAAGCGGGCAATGGTCTCACCAATGCACTTCCGCTTGCCCAAGCCAAAAAGAATCACCTTCTCACTCAATGCCTTGTTGATAGTGCCACTGAGGGTGAGAAACCGTTCTGGCCGGAACTCAAAAGGGTCACCCCATAGCTTCCTGTAATCAGAGAAAGGCAGCTAAAGTGGCAGCCCGGGGGCTCAGAAGCATTCAGTGGGCCGCACTCCAGCCCGAAAGAGTAGGGGTCAGGCAAGTAGCCAGGGACAGCAAGGTCTGAAGCTCAGAAGAGGGTGAAGTTTATATTACCCGCTCTTAACTTACTGGTCATGGTTGATCTGCCACTGGTTCACAAAGATGCAACGCCCCTTGGGTATGTAAAAGCCATTCAGACTTGTGTCTCTTATTGCACTGGGGAGAGAGAAAGCTCAGTCAAGCTCAGGGCCACAAAGAGATCCCCCTGCTTCCAATACCATGTCCCTCCCACCAGCCTTGATCGGGTACATGGACTGAAGTGAGGCCCATTATCAGACAGCAGTGGATCCACGGGGCCTCACCAGTGGGGGATGGTGAAGGGGATGAAGGAGGAGTGTCGGAAGGTCTCCAGGATGAAGGCCTCCATATAGGGCAGCTGGGGTTTGTCAGAGAGCTGGGGCTGCCGTGCTCTGCCAATCACTGTGTCTACAAAGCACAAAGGACCAGACAGATGAAGGGGCCACACAGACTTTGGCCAGGCCCCCTGCCTTGAACACTTTTAAGCAGGCCACCACCTACCCAGCTCCTCCTGGATCTTTTTCTGAACACTGGGGTTTGTCACCAAGTACAGAAGGCTCCAGGAGATGGCAGTGGTGACTGTGTCAAACGCTGGCCAGGGGAGAACAGAGGGAGATGTTAGGCGGTTGGTGGCTTTGGGCAGTTGGGCACAGGAAGGGCACGATGGGGTAGCTCATACCAGCTCCAAAGAGGTCCAAGACAACATTAACGATTTTCTCATCCGACGGCTGGATATTGGCATTCTCATCCAGGCTCTTCTCCTGACAGTAGTTGATCAAGTTGTCTGTGATGTCTCGAATATGGCCCTGGGTAGGGAAGGCCCACAGGTGAGCAAGATCTCAAACCCAGACCTACCTCTTCATCCAGGCCTGGTCCCTTACCATCCCTAGCACCTTTGTTCAAGAGGTGACCCACCCTCCTCCAAGGCTGCCGTCCCAGTTTTTCTCTGCCTGTCCAAGGCTCTCTCCTGCCTCAGAATACTAGCAGCCCCAACTCAAGGGACACCTAACAACAGAGTCTGATACCATTGTCATCTGGACATGTTCTTTACCCTTTTCTCTCCCATAAGACCAGGAGACTAACTGTATAACTCTTACTGCTCCCCACAACTGGACTAGGGTCCTGCTATCTGACAGAAAGATAGAAGGTCTGATCAAGATAAAGTTCTATTTCCATGCCATGGATGGAGTCCCCTTCGCTACTGGCTTCAAAATCCCAAGGTGAAGGCCCCTGAGAGCCAGCCAAACACCATCCTGCTCCAGTTATCTCTGACCTCCTGATCCCCGACCCTACCTGCTCCCCACCACCCACCTACCTCTCCCCAGTCTGTACCTTTTCAAACGTTTTATAGTGTTCCTTAATCATCTTCCGAATGAAGATGTTCAACTTCTTATTTGTGTCTTTGAAGATTTTCAGGGCCCGGTTGGGCAGGTAACGAAGGATAGGGAAGAAGTCGGTTGGATTCCCAGAGGCAGCTATCGCCCCAAACTCATTATTCAGGTTGACTACGCTAAGTAGCTCTTGGTCTTCATGTTCATAGCGCTGACCAAAACACATGGCACATATGACATTGGCCACTGACACCACTACATACCTGTAGGGGTCAAAGTGTCCAACACTTGCCATCAGCTCCTGGAACTTGTTGATGAGGTACTCAGCCTCTTTGCTCACATGTTCCTCTAGGTAACAGGAGGATAAGGAAGCCGGGTCTGAAGCGATGGAGAAACTCTTTAGGGCATTTTGGGCTAGGCGCCGGCGGACAGCCCACGCTGGTCCAGAGTCTGGGGAGAAGGTCATGCTCTGACCCTCAGAGATCAGGGTGAAGCTGTAGAAGTCAGGCCGGCCCTTGAAATCATCACCCTGCCGCACCAGGGCTTGCCAGATGGTGTCCAGGCCACTGAGCACCAGCACAGGTGTGCAGCCAATGCGGATCTCCAGCACGTCCCCATAACACTGGCTCAGCCGTGATAGTGCCAGATGTGGGTTCTTCCTCAAGATCAGCATGTTCCCGAGTATGGGCCAGCCCCAGGGCCCCGGTGGACTCTTCAGGCCTTTGGGAACCTGAGGCTGCCGGGCCCTGATCACCCAGAATACCAGGCAGAAGATGGCGGAGGCCAGGAGAAGCTCCGTGGCTGAGATGGGAATGGCAAGTCCAAACGCAGAAAACATGATCAGTGTAGAGATGGCAAGGTGGCTGCTAAGAGGTGGGCAGGAGGGAAAGATCAAGATATCAGATGGAGGGATGGGAGAAGCCAATGCCCTAAAGTATCAGCATGCTGGTAAAGGAAAGAGGAAACCTTATTCACAACTGTTCACTGGGCATGAAGGGCAGGAAGAGGTGGGAGAAGCTGAAGAGCTGCCACTGCGTGCCAAGAATTTCAGCAGTTCTCATTCGGTCCTGCCATAGCCTATTGAGGTAGGCTGCAGTAAGGCTCACAGAAAGTAACTTGCCCAAGTTCACAAAGACAGGAAGTATTTGATCCACACGTCCAACTCAAATTGCCTAATTCAAGAACACCCTCTCTTAACTGCTGCACCATTCTAAAACAGTTTGCCAAATGTCACTTTGTGATTTCCAAAGAACACTTGTACTATTACTTACTTGACATCTAAAATCAACTTTAAATCTACCCACTTAGCATCATCCCAATCATATCTGTGTTAGAGCACAGGTTTGATTTCCCCCCTCCCCCCCACAACGTATATTAAAATAAACACATAACTGATGTGTATCACCTAAATCCCCTTGATAACTACCCACCACATTTAGGGAAATGTTGCTATCGGAACTAGTGATCACCCACTCTTTTAGCTTCATTTCATGTTTGGGGAAACTGATCTTTAGAGGAAGCACTGACTTGGCTAAAGTCATCCAGCAGTGACTGAACCAGGACTCAGACCTCTTAAGGAAAGTTCCCTGAGAAGTTTCTAATTCCTGTCATAGGTACCTCCCTTTGAAGAGTGGTCAGATCAATCGATGAAAAAGAGCTTTCTTGGAACCCTCAGTTCTCACCTGCTCAACCCCAGGGTCTAGGGAATCCTGCCACACCCTGCAACAGGGAAGGGAGGGGACGGAAGATGGGAAAGTCACTGCCTAAGTCATACTGCTCTCAGCCCCAGCTCTCTGAGTTCTACCAACCCCACAGTTTAAAAGCAGCTGGAGACCAGCTAGACTGAGGCTCCCAGCCATAGAAATCCAGGCCAGGGTTTTCATTGGGCTAATTCTCTATGAATGGGTAGTCTGGGCCTTCCCCAGTTGCCAGTCACCAGATAGCAGAGACTAACTGGAAGGCTCCCACCAGGCCAGGGCTGTAAGAAAACTACAGACTGGCATAAAGGAAACTAGGAGTGGATCTGAACAGAGCCTGAGACAATACTTTCTAGGCTTGGTCTAGAAAGGCTGTGCAGATTAATGGACTACTCTCTCCAAGGCATAGAGCTCTGACTGGGACATCTTCCTGGTATCCTGGACTGAAGGTCAGGAGATCCAGCGTTCCAGGATCCATAGTGTGGCCTTGGACTGGTCATTTTACTTTCTGGGCTCCAGTTATATCACCTGAGAGAGGGAGTCAGACATAATCTTTAATTCAGGGTACCCAGCTGGATCTCAGAGAAAAGAATACCCAGCTCTGACCTGGAGGACCTCACAGTCTGACTAGCGAGGTTTCCTCACAAGAGAGTTGCCCAAGATGGGGAGGTTGTATGGTTCTTACATCAAGTACTATAGCCATCTATCTAGGGAGGCTTCCTGGAGGAGGTGGATCCTAAAGCACACACACAAAGCCCTGACTCCCTGAGTGAACTGGGGACACGGCTAGGTTTGGTGTTCCCTTCCACACGTTGGGTGCCCCAAGGACCCAAGCCTTAGTAAGATGGTAGGAGGCCAAGAGAGATGTCACTGGTGAGTTTTCAAGGACTGGTGGTTTAGCTCCCTGCAGCTGTCACACTAATTGCTCCCCAACAGTGGAGCAATTAGTGTGACAGCTGCAATTAGTGTGACAGTCTCTCACACTAATTGCTCCCCAACAGAGGACAGAGAAGACAGCCAAGGGTATAGGGAAAGCCCCTGGGCAGTGTGCCCAGGACTTCTGCTCAGATCGGCCTTTCTTGTCCTGGTCAGCACATCTCAGCTCTGACAAGCCATGGCTTGGGAGGGTAGAGCCAGCCAGAGTGAGCTTTTAGATAAGGCAGGTACAGCTGGTAAGAACCCTGACCACCAGGGAGAAACCTCCCTCATCCCACAGCCTGAGGAGGGACTGCACATGCTCATAGCTTCAGATAGCTGTGTCCTTATTCTAGCCCCAGGTAACCCTGATGCGGAAGGCCCAAGGCATTCAGGAAAGCCAATGGAGGTTGGAGCTGGGGCCCGGGTTCTAGAATCCTGAAAAAGGAGTGCAGGGGGTGGACATCTCTATGTAGAGTTCTGATACTAACTCTAATACATTGGGCAAGTCCTGCCCTTCCCTTGACCTCAGTTTCCCCTCTAGGGGGCTGGACTGCTTGGTCACTAAGGCCACTCTTTGCCTTCCTCTTTGAGGTGCTAGACCAGTGACTACTAGGGAAGACCTGAAGCCATCAAAATTCTCCTTTTATTGGGAGGGAAGGGGCAAGCCAGAAGCCTCCAGCACTCACCTGTGGCTGTGAGGAGATGCTCAGCTGAGCTGTGAAGAGTGGTCTCTGGAGCCAGGGACCCCAAAGAAGATTATGGAAGGCTCCAAAGAACTGACACCTTCAGAGTGAGGATGAAGGCACTGCCACCTTTATAGGCGGCTTGCGCGCGTGGCCACGCCCCCTGGCGCTGGGCTGGGACTGAGGGCGGGGCGGCCTGAAGGGGGATGGTCGCCTTAGGGTTGAGGGGAAGTAGGGGAGAGGGGACGCGCGGGGGCAGGTAAGAACCCACTATGGGGACGCCTCATCCAAGTGCCGGCAAGTAAAGGGGTGAGGGCCGGGGACACCCGGGATCCTTAGTTCCAAGATACCCCATGGACAGCGCAGAGCGCGTCTGAGGCGGGGGTTCGGGGAGAAGTCCCAGGACACTCCGAAGAGAGGATTTGGGGAGCCTCCATACCCGGGCACGGAGAACCCTCACCCACATTTTTGCACCCACTGGAATACTGGGTGTGCAAGTGCCTCCCCCTCACCACGAGTGGATAGGGGCCAGGCAGGCAGGGGCGGGGCTGCCGGGTGATGACCTTCTTCCCCGGGGTTACTGAGTCCGGGCTCGCGTGAGAAGCGCCGCGACCCCCGCCCAGAGGTCACCCAGGCCGGAAGGACAGAGGCGCCGATGGGCTGCCCCTTCTCCACCCAGAGCCCCCAAAGCCCAGGCAACTAGCAGAAGTCCGCGCTCCCTGACCCAGAGGCGGGACTAGAGAACTTGCAGTCTCGCGGAGCGCTCACTAGCAGCTGGGCGCCCCTTCTAGGGCTACTTCGGAACCTGCAAACCAGGGATACCTCCAGCCGGGACCCAGCGGCCCTCGAGGTTCCCTCTTGGCTCCGGGGTTGCTAGAGCTTTGGCCGGGCGGAAAAATCGGGCGGAAAGGGGTCCGCGCGACTAGCTTCCAAAGGCGGAAGGAAGGGTTAGAGGGCAGCCCTCGGGCAGGTCAGAGGAGGAGGCCCAGGAACCGAAATGGAGGCGTCCAGCACAAACGCCTTTCGAGGCTAGTGTGCACGAGTCTGGAACCTGTCTCCGGGGAGGGGGTGGGCAGAGATCACGCGGCCCATCCCCGCCCCACCTGGCCGGGGGCGCGGTGACAGGCAGTTGCGTGAGAAGAGCTGGGAAGCCAGCCACCCAGGTCGGGTCCCAGCAAAGTCACGCTAAGAGGGAGGGGAGTCAGGGGCGGGGCTCTTAAAAGGCCACTCTCTAGCCGAGCGGGAGGAGGAGAGGGGCGGTGCAAAGGGCCCAGGCTTGCGTGCGGAGCTGGGCTTTTGCTTACGAGCGGGCGCCTGCGTGTGTCCATATTTTTGGTCCACGCCCGTGGCAGGACACGCAGCCCCAGTGTGTCGCCTAGGTCGCCAAGCTGGCTGCCTCTGATGCTGTCCTTCGCCCCTGCCGACCCCTCCCGATGTAAAATGGCCCGGCAGAAAGAGGCACACTTGCGTGTCTAGCTCAAGCTATCCCCAACTAACCACATCACCTGCCACCCATGCCGTGCTCCCCAACCCAGCGAATGGCACAGCCATCCATCTGCTGGCCCAAGCCAGGCTCATTCTGCTCCCTCACCTCCCACTCCAGTCAGATGCCACCCCATGCGTTGCAAAAATATTTACTAAACGCCTATTATGTGCCTTTCATTCCCTTCAATTCTTTCTCTACCCTGTGGCATCCAAAGTGGTCTTTTCAAGAAATCCAAAATCTCATTCCATCCCCACCTTGTCCCTTCAGTAGCCCTCATCAATAGAAAGCAGAATCTTTAGCAGAACCTACCAGGCCTGCTCACCTCTACTTCTAAACTCCCCTACTTTAAGTCAGCTAAAACACCACTTCCTCTGGGAAGCCCCCCTGAATCCTCTCCACAAAAAAAGTTAGGTGTCTCTTGGTCTGTTTCCAGCACTTGTCCATGGTAATTCTCACTCAGGACACTTGACCCGTGCTATGACCCAGACCCAACCTGTCACTCCTTCCTCCATGTCTGAACATAGAAAACCAACCTGGGGTAAATTGATCTGAGAAGCCAAGTCCTTGCGATATATTGATAACTGGTAAAGGAGTTAAACCCAGCTGTATTATGGATGGGGCACATAACCAGGGTAATGCCGAGCCCAAAATGCTGATGCTATAATGGTGGAACTTAGGTAAGAGAACAGGCAGGAGATGAGGGACTTATTGTTGGGCTTATATTTCATCCAGCATTGTTTCATTCATCCTACCCTCTGCACCCCTGACTCAGCCCTTGGAGTTTTATGGTACCCAAGAAAGATCTGTCCTCCACTCCCAATTGGAGCTAGATCCACAGAAGTAGAAAGAACCTGTGTGAAAGCCATGGCAAGGAATTGAGGAGCAAAGCACTCACAGATTCCTCATCCTGCTCTACAGCGCTGTCTGCTCCTCTGCTCCTTGGGTCCCCATCAATGCCAGAGCTCTAAGAAATCATGGCAACCTGCTCATCAGGACTGGAAGACCGTCTGCTGGGGCTCCTGACCAGGAACCCAGAAAAACCCTTTGTTTGGTAGAAGATGCATTGCTTTGC